AAAAAAATTAAATTTATTTGTTTATAAGACAGAAACTGCGAAACAAATTATTTTAATGTCTGTTTTGAACTGGTATAAAGTCTGAAAATAGTATATTAATAATAAAACAAAACAACATTATCAACATTATTGCTTAACAGTTAAAAGTTTGTAGATTTTTAGCATATTTTTTCATAGAAAAATGTACCCTTTATTAAGGCTTTCATTAATTAATTAGCTTTGCGTTCAGTTTAATGTCTCAGTCGTAATGTTTTAGATGCAAAACAAAATAACTCTTTTATTGACTATAATAGCAGTAGTAATAGAGTAGTTGAGCTCAGAATATATCAATCATTTGTTTTTATACTGTCGTCTGAAATGTTTTTTAATAGAAATGCCATTAAGTGTTAAATTTTGTCTCAAATTTATATTTATAAATATATATAATGCGAGTGAATATACAGAATATTCTGTGTATTCATCAATAGGAGTAAAGCCTATGAATTTATTTATTTATGTTAAATGATTGCCTTTTAATGATCACTGAGTTTTAAATCACTTTTGACTTCAGTCTAACTATTTATGAATGAATGGCTGAAGAATGCGAAGAATTTTCGGAAAACTATTATAAGAAATAATAGGAAAACGAGCGAAAAAAAGAGTTGGAAATAAAAACATATATAAAAATCTTATCAAAAAGTGAACATTTGGTTAATTAACTGTTGAAAATTAGTTATTCATACTGTTTTTAAAAACTTTGTGTATGAATTTTGCGCAACAAAATAAGTATAGGATTAAAAAACTTGTTAAAACCCATAACTTTATAAATAAATATTTTCTTACATAATGTTCAATGTTTTGTATGACTTATCCGTAAAAATACGGATGAATAGTACGATTGAGAGTACAGTATTTGTAAAAACTGACAGTATTTTTGCATTTCAAAAAACAACACAAACGAAATGAACTATTTTTGTGAATTAGAGCATTGAATGCATTGCGAGTGGAGTTTATGTTACGTTGAAAAACTATTTTTTCAAATCCTTTCCAACATTTATAATTGAATTATTGCTTCAAACGGTGTCTTTAAAATCCTATTGAGATTGCGAACCCTATAGGCACTGGAAATGTGTGTACTTTGCAAATAATATACACACGAATAAAATGATATCAGTTTCTCGATTAAAGAAAGGCTATAAATAATACTTTTTTCAAACACACATATCATTCAATTTCAATGCTACAGTGTTTTATATTTTTATTTTATCATTCAATTCGCAATGCAGTGAAATAGGCTTTAGGGGTGAGTTGTAATGGTATCGCAAAATTATGTGCCATTCAATGCTACACTAATTTGAGAGTGAGAGCCAACATTTTCAGTGTTAAATATAATGTACAAAACGTATAGAAAAAAATGTTGGCATTTCTGGTTAAAATATATTTTTGTTATACACAAACGCACGGTATATGAACAAAATACGGGTCCCGTTATTATAATCAAACGTTTCAATCAATGAGCACTGGTTTTGCCATTTAATTAGTAAACAAATATCGATGGAAAAATCTTGAAAAACCTTTTTTCTAATCTATTGATGTTTTAAAGTCTATTTTTGGTCTCCTTTTATGGCTCCCATTAATACATTCATCTGAATACTGAATACGCGAATACTGAGAGAGATGTGAAATAGTCGTCTCTTTTTGCACACGAGTCTCATCACCAAAACTATTCCTGTTTGCCATCTCTCTCTCTCTCTCTCTCTCTCTATCTGCCAATGCATTTCAATGCTCACCCTTATCACCAGTATATAAGTACGGTTGCAGTCAATCATATCTGTATTGGTTGTGATCCCATAAAAACATATAGAATTTGTCGCAATAGCTACAGAATCCGTCGATTCTTAACCTCTATTTTGCTATTTTATCACAAATTGACACAAAAAGCTGTACTACTGTTCAGTAGTTTCCAGAGATTGTGGGAAATTAGGAAAAAAGATAAATGGGTTTATATTCACACAGATATTTTCAGTACATAACAAGTTTTTACAAATTGACAACTTTTTAAAAATTATAAGGCTTTTAGCCCTCAATAATAATTATGCCAACAAATATCAGCAGTTATTTGAGGTTTATATTTACTAAACGTAAATATTTAAATTTATAACAAGTTTTTACAAATTGACAACTTTTTAAAAATTATAAGGCTTTTAGCCCTCAATAATAATTATGCCAACAAATATCAGCAGTTATTTGAGGTTTATATTTACTAAACGTAAATATTTAAATTTCATAATTATTTAATGAATTTTTACGGCGATGAGTGTCTGAAACAGTTTTTAATTAAATCTTTGATCTATTAATAGAGCCTTTTTTGAAACAATAAAAAGTAAAACTTTTGTGTTTATCTGACACTAAATTCAAAGACGATTATTCAGTATTCATAACAATATTTCTCAACATTTTTAATCTTACTTTTAATAATTTGCGTTCAAAAATAGAAAACTATTTTAATAGTAAAGTAGTTTTAAAATATATATATATAGTGGCAGTAAATGTGGTGACGATTGCCGTCTTAATAGTGTATTTCCTGAATATTCTTTGATATTTAAAAATAATTGTATTCATAGAGTGAGTGAAACGTCTTTAGACATTCAAAATAGTTGTTATCAATACATAAAAAAGTGTTATATATTCTGTCTTATACTCCATACGCCCACTCAATACGTTTTCAGTGCCACAACGACTTGTAAAAGTAGTTTAGTATAAAGTTTTTGAGAGTTTGAGTCGAGTATAGAGTTTGCCTCAAAGCCTCGGCATCGCAACCGAAAAATAGTTTTCTCACTCCCTTTCCACTCAGTCTCTCATTTCATTGCAAAACAACATCACAATCGACAACAACCTCTCATAGTCTCACTCACTATTCAAATGAGTTTTAATTAGAGAGAGGTTTTCAAAACTTCTCTTATCATTAAATTTCAGTGTTTTAATTGAGTGTAAAAACACAATCCGTTTTTGACTCATAGTTAATCATTTTATGCAATTAATTGTGAAGTTTTATGAAATAAAAATAGATATCAAATAGTTGTTTGAAGTTTATTTGATCGACTCTTGCGATTATAAATCCGTAGACATAATGACAGAAATAGCGCCCAAAAAATCCATTTCTATAAAGAAGAGCAACAAAAAAGTGAAAAAAGTGACGATCGATGAGAGCATCACTAGTTTCGACGACGGGAGGGGAGGAAAAGTGACCGTAACTCAGGTCAAGAGCTATGGGCCCGAAGACGGACCCATTATTACGGAGATTAATGACATGAACGGCGATATCGATAATGAGGTAATGAATGACTTATTGTCATTCACTCCCCGACTCCTCACTGTTTGTCTCATAATTTACAGCGAAATCCCATTTTTGTCGGAAACGCTTAAAAAGCATTTTTACGTTTTATTGCTTAATAAGAGCTATTTTTAATTTCCATTAATTTATTGTTTAATTTGTTTTATTTCTCATAAATAATTCTTTGCGTTATTGTTCCCTGTTTGCAGAATATTCTGTTTTAACATTAATATATAAGTCTAACAATAAAAATGACAATTTTTTGTTGTTATTTTAAATGGCTGAGTTAAATAACGGAATATTAAGTAATGTTAGATAAACAATATCAAATCAGATTAACACAATTTATACAAATTATACTAACCAAACTACTTTATATTCGTGAATATAGGGCCCATATATACGAGACTTTCTGATATAAAAGGTTGCGAGAGAGAGAGAGAGAGAGAGAGAGGATTCTATAAATAACACAAGAAATGGTGTTTTTGTGTGCATTCCTTCCTATTGTGACTTTTCATCAAATAGTTGTTGAAATTCTCATTACAATGACATTATATTCCTGAATTTCTATATACAGTAGCCATAGACTTTACAAATCTAATTTGTGTTTAAAAACATGTATTTTTCAGTTAATATTTTCTGGAGAGTACACGAAAGCCATGTCCAAAGACTGGCATTCGGGGCACTTCTGTTGCTGGCAATGCGACGCATCGCTGACTGGCTTACGGTATGTGCTTCGTCTAATATTTACTGTTATTGTATTATTATTAATGCTGAGAATATATAACTGGGTATAGAATTCAGTGTATTATTTAATGTTATTATAACTCACGCCTTATAGACAACGCGATATACATGTAATTTGTATGTTAAGGAAAAAATGTTATTTTGATAATTACTAATAGCTATCGAATTCGCGATTCAGTGATAACTCAGAGAAACATTACTGTTATATAAGTTATTAGAAAATATTAACACATTACTACAGTACAGCTGTGTTATCAAATATTAAAGTCTAATTACTTATATATATAAATAATTATGTCTTTTTCTTATTTATAATTTAATTAATTTTTTCTCGTATAAGTTTACGTAGTGTTGTTTATGTTATATAATTGAATAGTGTTTTTGAAATGAAAAAACGTTTGTCAAGATCTCAAGCACTCAAACTGAGACACACCAGTGAAAAGTGCAATGAAAAGCAAACGATTGTAAAGTTTATTATTATTACATTATAATAGCGTTTATAATTAGTAATTGTTTTCCATTGTGTTTATGTGTATCGACCAGTTTTATGTATACATGCCGTAGAAATTGAATAATTAATTATATGATTGATTATATGTGTGCACAGATTGAGCAGTACTTCTCGAAGCTACCGGAGCATAAAGTGCCGCGACTGGGGACGCCGGGTGAGAAATATCGGGACAGGCAGTTGATCGTACAGCTGCCCAAACAGGACTTAGCGCTGGCTTATTGTAAATTCATAGAACCAGACAATTGGAAACTCTTTGAAGAGTTTGTCAATACTAGGAATGAATGCGCGCTCGACATCGGATACATCAAGATTTGTGTCGACAAAACGACCGTAAATTACCTGATTATCCCGTAATTAATGAGACAATAGTTATATTTCATTTGTTTTATGTTTTTATAAGGAGTGTAAAAATTGTAAGAAAGCCATCGGAGCGCAAGATATCGGTGTTATAGCGCCCAAGTTTGGCGAACAGGCCTTTTTTCACCCGAACTGCTTTGTGTGTAATGTCTGCGATGAGCTGTTGGTTGACTTGACCTACTGTGCTAAAGATGGTAAACTCTGGTGCGAAAGACATTACGCCGAGACAATCAAACCCCGATGTAGTGCCTGTGACGAGGTATGTGTGCCTATCGTTTCTATGCCCTCTCTCTCTCTCTCGCAAAAGTTTGATTGATTTGATAAGTTTGTGACGAATATAAGATATATTGTATATATTTGTCATAAAATACATATTTCTGTCATAAATCCATTGAACGATATGTGATAAACACTATAAAAAAGTTTTCATACATTTAATAAAAGCTTAACATTTAGTTTGTGTGCATAGAGTTAGATGTCTTAACCGTTTAGGACTCCCCTCAATGACACACATATTGTTTATATAAGAGTTTCTTACAACCAGTGCTTAAGACTTATAATATTGAAGACTATTTTTATTTGTTTGATTGATGTCTCGCATGTAATATCCGTTTGAGTGAAATATAATTTAATTTTTATATTAAAACTCATATTTCTCTCCTCCGATGACTCGATCTTATCCCACAATATATGGCTATTTTTATTCACTTTTTTACTATTTTTTGGTCATATATTTCATATTTTCTCTTATCGTTAGACAACTTATTACACAAAAGTATCTAAAATACTATTTGAATGAATGACGCCAACGGTTGCCAACTCTTCCCACTATTATTTGATTTATTATTTGTACAATAAATAGGTTTTGCTTTTATTTACAATTCATTTACTCGTCTCAAGCCGTTAATACTCGGCTTTTTGCATATTTAGTGCTAGAAATTGCGATAAATATATTGATATTTGGCTTATATTTAATGAGTTTTCAATTTACAGACTTCGTTGCGCGCAGTTTGCCTATAATATTGAAATCTTGGAGCAAATATTGAATTTATATGTTAAGCCCATTTGACTTATATATATTTTATTTATTAAAATTTAATTTAAAAATAGGTCACACCCTATACAACCCTGTGATTCCTGTCATTCAATTGTTTGTTACATGAAATGTTATTCTGAAATCAAGAATATTCTGCTATTCATATGAATATATTGATTACATGTGTCAGCTGTCACTTAGCAGTCATACAGAGCTTCTGAACAAAACGAAAAAAAATAAATAAATATTTTTGATTCCCTTTAATACACTGTTTCACACGATAATTACAATCGATTTTTATTAAATGCACTCAAATATTGACTCAAAACTTATAAAAACCTATTCCGTGATAACTATTGTTTATTTTATGACTACTACCTATCATTGCGTTCACTTACTTTCAATCATTGCCACAGACGTTGAGTGTAAGACTTTGTTTCCAATAAAACTGATAATGTATTTGAGTTCCTAATGAAACTCTCGGCTCTCTCTCTCTCTCTCTCTCTCTCTCTCTCTGCCGTCGAAAAGCTCTTTCATTTGATTACATATTTCATAGACTCCGGGGATTTGCGAAATATATTTATTATTATATTAAATGAACACATTTTGAATCACAAGTTTTATCTTTAGCTGAAACGTGACTTCAATTCTTGTGCGAACAGAAAATTATATTTTTACGTAAATTCTTGATTGAGTTATTAAAACAAGTATTTAAATACGGAAAAAATTAGGGAAAGTTTTGTGCGTTTTCTAATGTATGACAGCTTTATGACTATGTATTAAGAAATATTCAATTATTGTTTACATTTGTCTCAAGAGTTTAATTTAATGGATATAAATAAAACATTAATCAAATACAGGCGTATTGTATAATTAGTTAGTTTCATGACATTTTATAGTTCAATATTACTCAGTGAACATATAATTGTAAATCACGAATATACTTAACCACGTATGTTTGCTCGGTGCTTACAAACAAAACATTTTTAGGTATTTAAATAATTTTTATGCTCAAGTATTAATGAGTAGAGAATCTCTATTTATTCAAGCAATTGTTTTATAAGTATAAGTTATGTGAATATATTCAATGTTAATGAATATTTACTATTGAAATTGCACACAAAAATGAAATTCAAATAACTTATTGGTCACTCAATTACGAGAATTGCTTTTATAGCTCACTATAAACGTAAAGGTCGTAAACTATACTGTTCAGTTAGGTTAGGGTAGGTTTTGTTGGCATAATATTGGTGAGATCAGTCTCATTTCATCGCAAATTTTTCTTATTTATGAATTTCACTATTAAACGATGCAATTCTGGTGGTAAACATAAACATCAAAAAAGTTTTTATCGTATAACTTATGCATTAAAATAATGTCATAACTTACACAATAATTTCCTGTCCTCTCAGCCATTGTTTGGTTTGCAATATACAGTACTTGGTATTTACGAAAAATTAATATTTTCCCCATAAATATGTTATATGTTATTAAGAATTTAGCTTATATTTTGTGTGTTGTGTTAACTCTCGGGCTAATAATATCATTGAGAAAATATTTGCTTTCGTCCTATTTCTACATTAAAAAATATATATGAAAAATATTTTTCGCTTACAATTGCTTATCTATTTTTAACCGTATTTTTGTGTGTGTTTTGTGTTATAAGGCGGATGTAATTCATTGTTTTAATTTTGTTGATTAGTATTAATTAAATTTTGTTTAAAGCACGACATAAAATTGAATTTAATTTGTTTTATTAAAATTTTCAATTTGATTAACAAGTTTTAATTAAATTACGCGAAAATATTTTTTCTCATATATCGCTCAGTGTATCCATAATTAAAATGAATGCGAGTTTGAATTGTCTGTCAAAACACATCACATTTAATTGAGACGATCGACAGTTGTTTTGTGTTTAAATGCTGTGTAAATGACTCCAACTTTCGCGAGTAAATCACAAAATGGGAACAGTTTTATGGCTCAAAACTTTTTTTGTGTTTAGTTTTTGGTTTTTATTTTGCATCGTTTGCCGGAATTTTTGTTTGTCTTTTGAAAACCCTTTTTTAAGGTTGTCTTTGAAAACTTATTTTTTGAGTTTATTTTTATGTGTTTATAATATTCTCGCTCGTAGTAAACATGTTTGAATTGTATTTATTTCAGTATATTACAAGTGATCAGTAATTATATGATCAATATATCCAATGAATAACTTAATTGGTATAAAAATACTAACTTTTGAATCACGTTTGATATGTCACTAACATTATACTCTGTTATCTATTTATGCATTTAATACTATAAATCATTTGTTTGATACTCGCAGTAAAACATTAATAAATATTAAGATAAAATAAACACCAGATCTCAATGTCTTCGTAAGATCTTCAGTGATATTTTGTTTATAATAGAGTCTTATTATATCCAATTGGTTATAGATTTAGGAATTCCACTATTAATTAGCAAAACATTTAGTTTTAAAAATAACACATCATTTACTCGGGGATTGTTTTAAACATACAATGATTTGAAAATTTTTATTTATTATTAATGCAAACTACAGTTAACTTAACAAAACATAGTATTTTTGGGTTAATAAGTCGGTCATAAACTACTTGTAAAGTATTTGTTGAATCGATAGTTACGCTAAAATTATTTCAAAATTATCATGAATATTCTTTAATTTGTTTATTAAACTTTAATATTTGTACTTAATATCATTTACCCTTGGTCATTACATAGGCTCACTCTCACTTCATTTATATTTTATTTTTATTTAATTTAAAATTTATTGTCTAATTAATTTGACAAAAAAAATTAAATTTATTTGTTTATAAGACAGAAACTGCGAAACAAATTATTTTAATGTCTGTTTTGAACTGGTATAAAGTCTGAAAATAGTATATTAATAATAAAACAAAACAACATTATCAACATTTACAAATTACATGTATATCGCGTTGTCTATAAGGCGTGAGTTATAATAACATTAAATAATACACTGAATTCTATACCCAGTTATATATTCTCAGCATTAATAATAATACAATAACAGTAAATATTAGCCTAGAATTAAAAGGGTAGCTAAGGTTACCCACCCCGGGATATATATCCTAATCGGCATAATTTATAGTTTCCAGACAACTATTTTTAAAGCCCCGAGAGTCACAGGAATATATATTTTACGTAAAACTTAATTTTTATTTACACTGAAAGGGGATGTTTGCCGCGAAATGCATGCATATATATCAAACACTCGACACATTCCCTGGCTATACATCAATACAATATCATTTGAATTGTCAGTATAAGTCTAAACACCGGTAGTCATCCTTTAAATATAATAAAAATAATCAAAAGATATTATTAGTTATGAAAATTGTATTTCACATCATTTATCTTTGCGTAACAAAAGCTTTTATCTCAAACACACGCTTCGCTAAACATTCGACAACTAAAAGCGTGAAATATGTAAAATATTTCTTTAAAAACTTTACATATTTCACATAAAATACAGATTACTTTCAAACTTTACACAACCTTTTCGCTGGTGACACCCAGGGGTACCCACGAGTAGCCCTCCTGAAGGGTCCGTTCCTTATAGTCGGGGCCATTGTTTTTGAAGCCCAATCGCT